AAATTTTAAATGACATTTCAATCCTTCTGCAAAACTAGTCAGTACTCCCTCCGGTCATTTATACTTCGCATATTAGATTTATGTCAACTCAAACTTTGCAAAGTTTGATCAAATTTATATTAAAAAATATCGCCTTTCATAACGAATTTACCAATATTAAACTACATTTCATAACTATGAATTTGACCGGCAGCAAAGGGATAGGGTACGCCATCGTGGAGGAGCTCGCCGGGTTCGGTGCGAGGGTGCATGCCTGCTCCCGGAACGCGGCGGAGCTGGAGGAGTGCCGACGGCGGTGGGAGGAGAAGGGCCTGCATGTCACCGCCTCCGCCTGCGACGTCTCTGTGCGCGCCGACAGGGAGAGGCTCATGGACACCGTCCGGCAGACCTTCGACGGCAAGCTCGACATACTAGTGAGTTCTATATGTGTCTGTAAACTGCGGATTTTGTGTGTCTTCTGGGTTGCTAGCGCCTAGCGATCGGGAGTATGTATATGTATGTACGTAGGTGAACAACGCGGGGCAGCTGCTGGTGAAGCCCACCGCGGAGTGCACCGTGGAGGAGTACTCCAAGGTGATGGCTACCAACCTGGAGTCGAGCTTCCATCTCAGCCAGCTCGCGCGCCCTCTTCTTGTGCGCGCCGGAGGAGGCAGCATCATTAACATGTCCTCCATTGGAGGCTCCATCGGCTTCGTTGGCTCCACCGTCTATGCTATCACAAAAGGTACGTGCTCACTCCATTTCAAGATAAATCTCATATTAGTTTCAGTTTAAGTCAAATTTTGTGAAACTAGATCAGCTTCAAGTTTAAAAATGTCATTACATCATGTATGTAGGTGCAATGAACCAACTGACGAGGAGTTTGGCCACCGAGTGGGCCCCTGACAAGATCCGTGTGAACGGTGTCGCCCCAGGATTTATCACAACCGATATGATTAAAGACGTAAGCAGCATAGTACTACCTCTGTTCCAAATTACCTGCCTTAGATTTCTCTAGATACAGAGGTATCTAGCGAAAATCCATTTCTGCACCCGAGCTCATCTGCACCCGCGCCGACGAAAAAAATCAAAACAAATACTAGAAAAATTCAAAAAATTCCAAATAAAATTTGTGTGATAGACATTTTGATGCGTGAGGCCCGCTCCAAATTTCAAGTCATTTGGACATATGAGCAGCTCTCAGCAAAAAAGACAAATTGGGGGTCTGTAAAAATGTTTACTGTTCATGTACTGTTTTGGTCCGATTTGTCTTTTTTGCTGAGAGCTTCTCATATGTCCAAATGACTTGAAATATGGGGCGGGCCTCACGCATCAAATTGTCTACCATACAAATTTTATTTGGAATTTTTTGAATTTGTTTTGAATTTTTTATGAATTTTTTTTTAACCGGGTGCAGATGTGCCTGGGCACCAAAACGCCCTACTCGGTATCTAGTGTTAGATGTATTTGTATTTAGACAAATATAAGACAGGTAATCTAGAACGGAGAGAGTACTGTATAGCCTAATGGAGTAGCAAATGTTTTCTTGTTTATAAACGAGCACCACAGTAATTTTTAACTAGGCCTGGTAAGTTTTTGGTGAGATACTAAGTTCACTTTATCCTAAAAACAAAGTAATGCGTTCACTTTTCTATGCGGAAGTAACGAGTTCACTTTGTACGAGGAGGGACAAGGATTTGGACATCACGGATATTATTTATGGATATATTTGGCCAAAAATGCTAGACACACGGACTAACCATTAACAAATTTGTGGATATTATTTGTGGATATATTTGGCAGATGGATACGGAGTACCTGGAACAGGAGCACTCCAAAACCCCGTTGCGGCGGAGTGGCAAGCCAGCTGAGATCGCCTCCGCGGTGGCATTTCTGTGCATGCCGGCGGCTTCCTTCATCACCGGGCAGGTCATCTGCGTCGACGGTGGTCGGACCATTAGTGCTTAATTAGTCGTCATCACCGCCACTGCATAAGTTGTTAACTAATTACTTGGCGAATAAGTAGTAGGTGTGTTGGGAGTAAACAAACATTAGTAAATAAATGATGCCAACTAGGAGTAACAATAAGTGCCATCATGTACAGTACATGTATGTATGTGTGTACATATACGTGTACGTGTGTAGGGATGAAAACGGAGCGGAAACGGACGGAACTGAGTGCTACCATATTTGTTTTCACATTTTTTTTTGCAGAAGCAGAAACGAATACAGAAACCCCGGAAATGAATACGGAAATAAATACTACCGGAAACGGACACGGAGCAAATACAAAGTGGATACGAAACAGAAATAGGCATTGATCGGAATTTAAAAACCCCTTGAATCATACAGAAATACACACAAAAACAAACAAATTTAATGAGTTGTTAACATGGCTACAAAATAATATCATTATGTTAGCAACTTACCGTAGTATTGTAGTTGTACCGGACAATTGCGTATATGGTCAAGCTGAGTACATGTGTGGTAGTAGAAGTTCGGCCTTAGATCCATTCTACTAATTGTGTCATTGTGTTCTCTTTGGTGGTTGGGCTACAAAGTAGCTATAGGTCTATAGTAAAAACAAAAATTCCATATTCACGAGAACGGAAAGTTCCATTTCCATGCATGTTCCACCGGAAAACACCATTCCGTTTTTGTTTCCGCTTCCGCATAAAAAATTCCATTTCCACTTCCGTTTTGTAAATTTCCATTTCCATTTTGATATTTCCTCTCCGTTTCCATTTTTCCTCCGCAAAAACGAAAAGTTTCCACTCCATTTTCATCCCTATACGTGTGTATATGTGGTGATAATTTTGTAACTACTATTGAACAGTTCAATATGAATATTGCAGGTCTGACTTGGATACTGGAGGAAATTAGAAGACCTTACAAATCAGTTTAAGAAATAAACATAAAAAAGTTTTTTATCTATCCTGTCCTGTGTATGTAGAAGGCAGGGTGCAGAAGCCCATGTTATCCCCTTTAATAAAAACTAAATCGGCAACGCGCCTTGGCGCGATGGTGCCAGTCCCAATGATATGGTCAAGTTGTGGAAGATCAAACGGCATGATGTATTAGTATGAAGGCAAGTTAAGCACATGTAGCAGGACAACCAATTATCAGGTTTAAGGGTAAGAATAAACATTCACACTGTACCAAAAGAATAACATCATCAAGTTCAACACGGTCATGAGATTATAAAAGCTAACCCACCCGGAAGCAAGACAACATCCAATTCAGCACGGGCATATGATTACAAAAGCTAATTAGCTAACATTAAGTTCGGTAATATGAGCAGGAACATAATCGAGCAAAAGCCAACAGTGGCAATAGAAAGATAAAACTACGATGCCATAGGTAGGCATACAATAGTAGCTTGGTTCAATTGCCTCCATGAATGCCATTCCATTTGAGATACGACGCCAATAATATCATTGACGTTTGTCCTACTTCCAGATGCCTCTGTTTTGTGCCCAGCAAATTTGGCAAATTTTCTCATAATTATTAAACATATCACTTTAAATATGAAAACTGATACATGCACACATATGTAATGAAATTAAACTTGACTAATGCAACAGCAGAGTGAAAGTCTCATGAATATGGGAAGAAATGTTATAGATGTTCTGCATCCTTTTGACACTACCAATCCAAAGGGTATGCCTCTTGCCATTGTGTGATCCCCTCCGACTTTTGATGTACCTCTATCCCAACGTATTAACTCAAAAGACCAGGGCCATCCATCTTGAAAAGCTCCTTCATTTGTAGCTTGAACTTTACAATCACCTCTTCATCTGCTCCACTAATTAATAGGTCATCGACATAAGTGCCAACTAGTAGATGATCCTTCCCTTCACCTTGTTGGTACATTGCATGCTCTAGTGGGGCTTTCCAAAATATAAGAGAAATCAAAGACTGGTCATTCATGCCCGTGGGCCTTGCCGTATCCCGTACAAGACTTTGTGTAGCTTTAGTACCTTTTTCTCTTCTCCCTCTTTGATGAATCCCGATGGCTGGTTCACGTAAACCTCGCCTTCTAACTCTCCGTCAAAAAATGCCGATTTTACATCCGTGTTATGTATCTGCCATGATTCCTGATCTGTGAGGGTTATGAGTAATCTCACCGATTGCATCTTTGCAATGGGCACGAATATTACAAAGTTCACACCTTCATCATGCACGTACTCTTTGGCTACTAGCCTCGCTTTGTGCTTCACGGACCCTTCGACATCTTTCTTCATCTTAAATTCTCACCTGAGATCGATGGTTTTTTAATTGTTGAGAAGATCCACAAGTTCCCATGTATTATTGTCGTGTCGACTCTAACTGTTCTTCCATATCATGATGTCAACACTACTTCGTATTGCATCATCTCAAAGCTCCTTGGAATCGCCCCACCGCCGCCATCCCTTCCACGCCAAGTAGAGTCCCATCCGGACACGGGACGAAGTCTTCAATCTTGTATCTTCATAGTCCAACAGTCCGGCCAAAGGATATAGTCCAGCTGTCCGGAGACCCCGTAATCCAGGACTCCCTCAGTAGCCCCTGAACCAGGCTTCAATGACGACGAGTCCGGCGCTCAGTGTTGTCTTCGGCATTGCAAGGCGGGTTCCTCCTCTAGATATACCACAGAAGAGTTCAAATAAAGGATAGTGTCCGACCCTGCAAAATAAGTTCCACATACCACCGTAGAGAGAATAATATTTCCACAAATCTAATCTGCTGACACGTTTAGGCAACATGACATCATGCCATGGCTCGGCGATTATTCGAACCGTTTTTCTTTAACTAGCCCCGCATATAACGCGAGGCAGTTTCTTGACACGTCTTGTCAAAGCAGAGATCGTGTTCCCCTTATTATGGGATTCTCATCAATACAGACGTGGGTAACCCAACCGCGCCATCAATTACAGCGCTTGGTGGATAAGCGAGTTTTACCAGGCTAATGGAGCTGCATAGTTTAGTCCGCCCTTATAAAGGGACAAGGTCTCACCTTTTCTACCCTCGCCTTCTTCCTCCTCGCCCAAGTCCACATCCTTCCCCCCAACCTTCTCCAGTTATGTCTGGAGCGGGAGGCAAATGGATGGCTTCCTCCATTACGGAGGGACACATCAAGAAGTTGCGCGGAGCCGGATACTTAGTCGCGAACATCGCGCATCGGCTGCCCGCCGCGGGGCAGATCATTCCTACCCCTGAACCTCACAAGAGGGTAGTCTTCCTCCACCACTTCCTCCGCGGAATGGGGTTTCCCCTCCATCCATTCGTCCGTGGTCTCATGTTCTACTACGGGCTGGACTTCCATCATCTGGCCCCGAACTTCATCCTCAACATTTCGGCGTTCAACGTCGTGTGTGAGGCTTTCCTCCGCATCCGGCCCCACTTTGGCCTGTGGTTAAAGACCTTCAATATCAAGCCGAAGGTGGTGGGAGGCCAACAAGTAGAATGCGGCGGAGCCATGGTGGGCAAGATGCCCAATGTTATATGGCTCGAAGGCTCCTTCGTGGAGACCATAAAGGGGTGGCAATCGGCGTGGTTCTACACCACCGAGCCGCGCGACACCAAATGGGTGGCTGCCCCCAAGTTTCGATCTGGAATCCCCACGCGGCTCACCTCCTGGAAAGAGAAGGGTCTGTCCTGGGGTTCGTCGGTAGAGCTGGACGTACTCCAGAAATGTATCCGGAATATGGCTAGCAAGAAGCTCAAGCTTGTCAACATAGTCCAGGTCATGCTCATCTGCCGGATCCTCCCGTGCCAACAACGGGACTTCAACTTGTGGGAGTTCGACCTGGCCCAGCACCAGACTCTGAGCGAGCTCTTCGACACGACGCACAAGGACGTCTGGAAGGTGCTGTTCAAGGGCGCCGAGGTCCCTCCCTACCTCATCGAGGACCGCGGGCTAAGCGCCAAGCGCCAAGCGCATTCTGTGAGTTCTATACATCCGGTAGGATATTTATTTCCCCTGGCTTAACCATGTGCGGGGTCTGAGCTCCATGCCTTTGACAGGACTGGGTGGAGACGTCGGGGCAGATTAACTATCCGGCCCCTCTACCCGAAGACACTGCGGATTCTCTCCTGACGGAGATGCTGACTCCGGCTCCTTACAAGGTGCCGGAGAAGACCAAGAAGGCCAAGGGAACCCGAAAGAGTTCCCGATGCCAGGTGTTATCAGACTCATCGTCCGATAACTCCGCGACGCACTCCTCCCCGAAGACGAGGAGAAAGATGAAGATGCTCCCCCTCCAGTCAGGGGAGACAAGAAAAGGAAGGCCGCCCCAACCGGTGGTGCCGAAGGGTCCAAGAAAGAAAGGACTCTCCTTCCGGACCACACCACCACCGTCGCCGAAGGCGTAGACGAGTGGCTGCTTAGGGACAAGCCCCTGGCGAAGTCGAAAGTATTCGGATGCCAGAGTAACTCATAGCATACCTTTGTCACACTGCGTCTCCTAACGCCGAATTATGACTATGCATACCTTTGTCACACTGCGATCCACTTCCGACCGCCACCTCCCCTTGCCCTACGGACAACGCCGAGGTATTGTATCAAGAGGCACCGGGTCGAGGGGAGACAGTCCTGGAGGCGCCTCAAGGTGACCTTCCGGACTACGGGAGCAGAGGGAGCAAGGCTCCCGAGGGCTCCGGGTTTGGCCCTCAGCCGAACACCGCGCCGGAACCCCCAGTGGTTCTAGACTCGGGCAGGCGGCCCCTTCCAAAAGGGGCAAGACGCCTGTGCCGGTGACCTCTGTCCATCCAGAGGCACCGGACAATCTGCTGGGAGCGCTTCGCAACGCTTCCATCGACGAAGAGCATCGCACTATTATGAGTGCGGTGGTCCAGAAGGTTCAGTCCGCCAAGAGCGGACTGACTGAAGCCTGTGCCAGCCTTCTAACAGGCTTTGAGGTAATTTTTTGAAATATGGGGAAAAATATTACCGCATAGACAGTAGCCCCTGATGCTCTGTTCGGTGT